ACTGCTGTAAAGAGTTACATTCCCAGAACCGCAAGGGGCAGTTCTACTCTGTCCTAGAAGTCACTATAAATCCTGGCCCATGTTATTCTCTGCTCTCAGCCAACATTAGATGGATCTGTAAGAGGAACAATAATACTAGTGAGGCACACAAATCTAAGAATAAGCAGACATTTGCCCAAGGACCACATTGCGAGTGGAAATAGGAAACCCAGAGAGGAAATCATATAAGTGATATTTCATTGTGGGAATGGCAATCAGTGAAATGGAACCAAATATGTGTGAATTTCTGAGTGGAAAACTAATCTGTTCTGTAAACCCTCACCTAATTCACCATAAAATGTTTAGAAAAGAAATGAGCTGAGCTTAATTTCGGAGAGAGTTGGGCTGGAGACAGGTTAATAAAAGAGGAACCAAGAGAAAAATGCAGGGCATAGAAGTGGTGCATGAGATTGGGGCTGGCCCAGCAGTGAGGATCTCTGCTTGTGCGGACAAAAGGGATCATTGCTTGGGAGCAGTGCATGCAGAGACATGGTTCTAAATTCCCAATTAGTCCAGCATTTGAGGTTTCATGAATATCCTCATTGGAATCTCAATGGCGTCCGTCACAAAGTGACATCCTTGCTTTTCAATACTTTAAAGAGGCCTGGGGTAGTAGATTTATCCAGTGCAATGCATCACTTAATCTCTTGACTACTGCTTCCTTGAGGATTGACTGTGAATCTCAGCAACACAAATCCTTGACAAGTCCAATCTTTCCCCCATTTGTCACAATGTTCCTCTTGATCCAGTTGTGAAGATTTTGGTTGTCTGTAAATATAATCCAGCTTCTCTGATTATTTGTGCAGCACACAGATTGAATAAGTAGGATCAGAGGCTAAAACCCTGATGCAAACCTTTTTTAATTTTAAATCATGCACTAGTCCCTTGTGTTCCAATGCCTGCCTCTTGACCGATGTATAAGTTCTGCATGAACACAACAAAGTGTTCTGGAATTCCAATTCTCCTCAAGGCTGTCCATAGTTTGTTATGGTCAAAGTCAAGGACTTTGCATAGTCAATAAAACACAAGTCAACATCTTTCTGGTATTCTTTGTTTTGAGCCATGATCCACCTGCATTCAGCAGTGATATCCCTTGCTCCGTGTCTTCTTCTGCATCAGGCCTGAATTTCTGGCAGCTCCCTGTCAATGTATCACTGCAATCATTGTTGAATGATTTTCAGCAAAATGTTACTTGCATGTGATCCTGATGAGACTCTTCTATCATTTAAGCACCCTGCTGGGTCATCTTTCTATGGAATGGGCACAAATATGGATCTTTTACAGTCCATTGTCCAAGTAGCTGTCTTCCAAATTTCTAGCTATACTTCTATAAATGACTTTTGCCTCCTATTTCTTTCCTCTATTTCCTTTCACCTTCCTCCTATTCCACTCTGATGCTCAACCTCCATTTGGCTCTCAGTAATTCCTCTTGAATACATTGCACTTGATTAAACCCCATAAGGCATTATACGGGCTCCTTGCCATCAATTTTACAATCTCTTGCTGTTCCCTTACCTCTGAGTTTGTTGGCTCCCCACTCCCCCTCTCTGCCACCTCCTCTCCCATGTCTCCACCCACCCACCCCCACCCCCGGGAATGCCAGTCCCATTGTTTTTTTCTATCCTGCCTGTCTTATATAGATAGACACAGGGCAAAAGAAAAAATCAAAACAAGGGGAAAAAACCCAATAGATAGTTCCAGGTCTGTCTGCTGACCCTTATCCATGTTTTCCGATCAAGTCTGATGAGGTGCTGAGCCCTGTCCCCCGAGTCAGAAGTCAATTTTCAGGATTGCTCGGGGACTTGGTTATTTTGCTCCCCTTGCTGCCCTGTTGTACTCCCTTGTGCTTCACCCCGCTGTGCATGGGGCAGACAGGGCACACTTTCCACCCAGTGTCCCCACTGCTGTCCCCTGTAGCACTATGGGTCAGCGGGGAAACCTCATGTCTCATGGTGGGCTGGCCCTCGGTCCTTCCTGTGCATTGGCTGCTCTGAGCAGAGAAGTCATTTCCCGGGCTTGGTGGGCCATGATGAGGTTCTCTCTCTCTCTCTCTCTTAATTCATTCCCATGTGACCTGGACAGGTCCCCGCCTCTCTCCCCAGGCTGTCTCTTCAGTGCTGTCCTCTGTATTGCCTTCTGTGGAGGAATCAACATAGCTCGGTTTGGACCCAGTCCTGCCTGATGGAGTAAACTTGATGCAGTAGTTTACAGTTTTGTAGCCAAGACAAGCTGACGCCAAACCTGGTCATCAGAGAGAGAAGACAGCTGCAATAAAAATACTGGTCACTTCTCTGAGTACTAGGGAGTTGTGTCCATGGTGGTTTGTGCGGACATCCACCTTAGTTTCTAGACAAAACACTCCTTGGGTGGCTTTCTACCTCTAATGAAGAGAGTAAGAACATAAGGAAGGAGACATTTTGCGTCCACATATCCTCCAGTTCTGGGTTTCTAGGGCCGTGTGGATCTCTCTCATAGTTCACAGAGAACTCACATCCAACTTTGCTGGAGGGACGAAAATCTTCCTCTTGTGCCTCAGGATTCTTCACCAGCCAAGATCTATATGAGCAGTGAGTTTTGGTGATGTTGTGATTCCCTCATGGGGCTTTAAAATGATTGAATTAATACAGAGGAGCGTTTCCTCAAGTAGATGGGGCATCAGCTAATGTGATTGAGCTAAGCAGCCACAATGCCCTGTGGAATTGTGGTAAATGAGGAGAGAATGATGCTCTGCAGTTATGGTATTTATTTTTTTCATTAAGGAAAAAAAGATCACCCATGGTGACCTGGGCAAGAAAACCCATGTTTTCAGGAAACAATATCAACTACTTTCTCTTTCAAAAATGTCTCATAACTTTAATTCTGCAAATCTTTTAGGCAGGATACAGAATCCTTCATAATCCTACAGATTATGGCTTTTCCACCAAGACTACTCAAGCCCTCATTACAAATTACATTAATGAGCTTTCTGATGGCAATATTGTCTCCAGAGAACTCAGCCAACCTGACCGAGACCACTTGGAGAGGTAGCCAGGAACGACGCTGGACACAATTCATTTCCACCGCCTTTTCTACATGCAGATGAATAGCTCCCAAAGGATTACCTTGTGATTAAAATAGCGTCAACCTTTCTATCCAAATCTTCTCTGAGTAGAGGAAATTTGAGTTGACATTAGGACGGTGCTTTGGAATCTGAGAGTCTCTACATTTGGTTCTCTAGGTCTTTCGGAGTAAAATGGGAATGAAATAAACTTAGTCTTTACTTCAGGAGGTCTTAGAAGACTTGTTGATGTGCTGAGTAACCTAAATGCAGGCGATGGATTTGAGGGGATTTGGGGGAAGGAATCAATCCACTGAATATTAACTGAGCTATTTCCTTGGTTCTTTAGATACGATACTAAATGTTGTGTCGGGTTCAGAATCAGTAACATCTTGAAGCCTGCTTTTTTGGATTCCTGTAATTATTATACAAGTGGGTAATTCATTGCCCTGAAATTCATTGCCCATGTCTGGCTCCACCTTGAAAGATTCATAAATGGAAGAATATCTGAAGCCCTTTGTGTACACTGTCATGTGGTTTTGATAACGACAGAGTTGACCCTGACCTCTATATGGAACATTGATCTCTAGTCTGTGGTTTCCTCATCAATAACCCAGGTCTTCTTTCCTTCTGCAGACAAAACTATGCGGAGTTCAATTCCCTATTTTTGTTTACATTCTGGATGACCGGGTATTATTTCAACCAAGGTAATTAAAACATATAGTTAATTAGGTTTTAATGATGACTGTGGTACTTAGAAGTATATGCAGCCATACTTTTACTGATCCTGGAAATTATGTTAAATGAAATATATATGTCTATGCCCATCAGAGACAACTCTGTAAAGATAATGCTAATTTTAGTTGAGTTACAATTAAATGCAATATATATGTGTGTGTAAATAATAAATATGCATATATGTTGTTGTTGTTATAAGTCACAATTGAATTCATGGCAATGTATGGTTTCCATTTCATCATGTGTGTGTGTATGTGTACATGCATACATATGTATATATGAAACAAACCATGTAGCTGATACTCAAATTTGAAAAAGTCATGAATTTTGTTTTCAAATCTGAGAGTCTAGTACAAATTTGAGTGCAGGATAAAAACCAAAAAATTATCAGTTCAATGTAATAATCATAGCTAATGCGAGTGGCTCTCTACAATGCATCTACTGGTCTATATGCATCTGGAGCAAAGGGAAAGAAAGACATCAAAGACTTAAAGAAGACATTAGTCTGTAGTTACTAGTCGACAGACTAACTAACACTGTACCAGGATCCATCAAATTTGGGTACCAGTACTGACTGCTCTGAGTAGGGACAATATAGTTGGTCCTGGGTAAAATGGGAGAAAAATGTAGCAGTCTCTTTCCATTCCCACTTCTTTTCATTCTTCCCTAATGCTTTCAAGTCTGTAAGTTAATTATAATTAGTGTGTTAGTCTGGGTAAACTAGGGAAACAAATCCACAGAAACTCATATATATCTATA